CGAGATATCCCCATGGGGAACCATGAGAGATTTGATCTGTGGGGGCCCTCCCGGGGGCTGGGAAGGAGAAGCCTATTGGAGAATATTTTCCACAGGCAGAACAAATAGGATAAGCCCTCACCCCTGTATTTTCTTGCTGCTTCCTAGGAGTCTCATGACATTCACCTTCACATTCGCCTGGAAGCAGGAGACCGGGTGTTTTGCCCTTCTCATGCTGTCTAGCAGAAACTGATCCATGGAGGTGGTGGGTGAAAGAGAGCAAAGTTCTGTGGCTGCTGCCAGCACTTTGCTCTTCTGAGGGGTCCACAGAGTAGTGAGGGTAAGAAATCGGTGTCTGAAATAGCTCACATTCCAGTAGAAAAGCCCATGTAACAAGGCTAACTTGTGAAAAATGTTGGTTCCTGACATGATAGCAGAGTAAGGAAAATTCCTTCTGTTTCCCCTTAACTTCATATTATATGTGAACGGCCCCACCAGCAATGTCTGTTCCTTAAAGCCATCCTCTCCTGATGGCCTGAGGCTCCCACTCCTACGAAACCAGCAGTGACAGGGTTGTAAGAGTGGTACACTAACCCCACTAGGGTGGGCTGATGGTGGCTTCATTCTCTGGCTCCATGGAAGAACCAGGGTTGGCTGGCTACACATGTACTTAAGTGCAAACAGGTCTGCTCTGGGCTACAGCGGTCCTTTCCCCAAGGCACGAGGCTACCTGGGGAAGGAATGTTGTAACTGTGGCAAGAGAGATGCAACATTCTGGCCCTCAAGCTCCAGACCAAGACTCTTCATGTAGCCTGCGAGACACATTGGTGGTGCAGCAGCAGCCCAACTATTCTGATCTGGGGAGCCTAGAATGCAGAGTCCAGCTACACTCTCTTTTGGTCTATTCCTATTAACTGGTTAAGCAGCAGTCTGGTGTCTACACTACTTGGAGTTGTTTTTTTTTTTTTAAACCAATCAGTTCCCACCTCATATTTTTAAGAGAGAAAACAGACTGCCACTGGTTTATTAGCAGGCTAAGGCATATGCTGAGCTTTATTACACAATCAGGAGTGATGTGTTTATGCCTGAAACCCAAGAAGAAAATAAACGAAATGACAAGGATCTCCAGTTTTTCCAGCACCAGAGAAATAAGTAATATAGAAGCACTCACACAATTAAATAAGAGCTACTTGGAAGTGCAATAATCAAGGCTTTAGAAATATTAATGAGAGACATCTGATGTGATACCAAAAAAGCACAGTAGCCTGAAAGCTTCACCGAGGGGGAATCATGAGTTACATACAGTACCTCAGTTTCTCCTCCATTAGTCTCATTTCTGTTTTACCAACAGGATTACAAGCTAGTAAACAAATGCATTTATTCTGGGTAATGAACGCTAAGGAGGCGAAGGAAAAACCAACTTAGAAATCCCACCATCTTTCACAGGTCCCAAGATCTCTAAGCATTAGGGGGCAGTATAGGCACACTGACTAGCTAGTGCTTTGTTATGGTGCATCTCTCACACTAACTGCTGATGCATAGCTAACAGCAGCAGACATTGATTTATGTTCAACTTTCCATTTCATCAGAGTGTGTTACAGAGCGACATACAGAGTTCAAACTTTGGAGAAAATATATAACCAGAGTGCGTCTCATTATATATGCATATGTGTGTACATATACATGTACACACACATGTACACACACATGCACACTTACATGGCATTTACTCATTACTAATAAGGCCTTAAACTTTTGTTTGTAGCTCGAGCAGTAACCCTTTTGTCCATTGTTAGGAACAGGAGAGATCTAGTCTATTGCTGTTGACATTAGACAAATTTAGCTTTCTAACTAGGATGGGAAGAACTTCCCTGACCTTTTTGAAGATGAGTGAAGGGAAAAAACGTTTTTGTACTATAGGTCACTATTAGGAAGGGAAAGGAATTTTAGCAGGTAACCATCCATGTGACCATAGTACAGTCAGATGATAAACATGAGAGTTTCCTGCCACTAGTTCATTAACATTCTGAACCCATATATGTGTACACGGCACTTGTTAAAGTGTTTCATTTTTGGCAAGATGCCTGGCAGCAACAGGGATCTAATGACAATGCTTTACCATCAAGTGTGTCCAAGCTTTGCACAACTGAAGGCTGCATTTACCATTTGCCACAAGATGAAAGGTTGCAGCTAATTTTTATAAAATGGAATAGACTGTAGGCATTCTCCACCACAAACTCCAACACACAGTTGTGGCCTGCAGCTGGGGCATTACATGCTGGGACCAATAGTCTCCCAGGGCCACCATCATCTTGGATACAACTAGATTTCAGAACTCTGCCGGTCACGCATTTGGCCCACAGGCTACAGTGAAAATGGCTTCACGATGAGAGTTTTTACAAACCTCATCAGCCCTAGAGAACCTCGTACCCAGTATTACAATGTAAGAGCCTGTTGGGCTCATAGCTGTGCGCGCTATATTAAGATCTACTCCCTACCAGTGACCCTATGGCTTCAACCACCACTGCTATTCCAATACACCCAAAACCTGCCCCCTTATCTCCAATCTCTCCTACAAAGCCGAAAGCCTGAAGGAGGAGATGTCCACTGTCATCTCTAAACTAATCACCCCCCAAACTGACCTCCTTATTTCCCCCTGTAATCTTCATTGACAACTCTACAGGTCTTCGAGACGGACAAGGCTGATCTCATTGTTCCCCATGACCCTTCGCTCTTTGTTCTCCTTTTTCCCATTCTTGGCCTTGTGCCTCCTACCACACTTCCCTTGATACCTGGAACTAGTTCTCTGGCTTCACATGCCAGGCCTCTTCCTCCTCTAACCCTGTTAAAAGCTAGCTTTGAAAGGCAATCCCTCCTCCTTCGGGATCCTCAGTAATCCCCAGACTTTCCTTTCCTGAATATCCTGTATCTGGTGTGAAGCTCACTGGGGGAAGGGGCCAGATCTAGGATTTGAGGTGCTGTGCAGATTAATGCTATTCTGTAACAGAATTTTTATTTTGAGGTTACTGGAATCCATACTAACCACTAATAGACAAAATCCAAGGGAGCAGGTCAAGTCTGGAAAACAATTAGGGCATCGTTAGAGCACCCCTTATATTACACCAAATCAATGGTCTTCAGTGATCGGATTCCACATTACGCCTTTACTAAATTCTGGTTCCATTCTTTGCCTCCATCTGCTAGTGGACTAGTCAGTCTATTGCCCAGGCTGACACATGGGTCAGGGAGGCAAATCCTAACTACTTCAATCCTTTGCATTTCCTGTGTCCCTTCAGACACTGCCCTCTCCAACTCAGTGTTCTGTTCTGCTACAAAGATAAGAAATTAACTGAAAAGTAGCTAACAGCTCAACACAGAAACCCCGCAGCAAGACTGCCGGAGCAGGCAGAACTTTAAGTCTCCAGCATATCCAAAAGTGGAAACGATCCGAACATCTAAAAACATATATATTAAGGTGGTTTTGGTACCAAGTTCAGACACCGCTAAAACATGGCATCCTTTCCAGGGGTGAAGGAGACTGCAGTTAGGGGTGGTAGAATTTGGAGTGGGAGGGCAGGTTTTAGGGACGCGCTGCTTGTGACAAGTGAATCACGTGGAGGGAGCCCTGTTGCCCACCAATGGACACCAAGGCTACTAGAGCTGTGGGCCATTATAAACCAGAGGAAGGAAGAATTGCTTAAATTCCCTCTTTCACTCCTACCCCACATCCACTCGGATTAAATAAAATGTGTTACTTCTTGATCTGCTCCAACTTTTTTGAAATTTGGAAACCCCCAGAGGTGTGAGGTTGCAGGCTCGGGCGGTTCAGATAAGGACCAATTCCTCACTCAGCAGAATGAAAATTAAAACCTTGGAAACACATTTGTTATGTACAGGGAACAGAACTCAAGTTGCTGGCAGCAGCTATAATCTGTGAGGCATCATCTCTTTTCTCTTTGTCTCCTCCAATATCAGAGAGGCTTCGTAACCCTGAAACAGGCCAATCAATATTCAAATGTTCTTATTTTGACATAAGCGTGTTCAGGAAATGGGGAATTGTTTAAAAAAAGATCCCATCTCTCCATGCATGCACATCAACTGCAATACTGCCACAACAAATCATGATCAGTTTATCAAGTAAAGCTGTCTATTGCCCAAGAATTTCTCCTGTATACATATCATGAACCCAGATAACAGCAGCAACTGGTCAGAACAAATATTACCCACCGACAGCCAGCTCATTTATTACATGAACAAGCACTTATTCCTAAAGAAATAAGATCATAACGCACCAAGATTTCACATTGAAGCAACCAGTACATATACATGGCATACAAAGAGGTTTCAGAGAAATTAAAAACATCTTACAAGTAATAAATCTTAAAGCTTCCATTCCAAATGCTCTTTAAAGTCCTTCCCATTAGGATCACGCATAGATTATATTGCCAAGTCTTGAATCAGGGCATAAGTAAAATGAACCATGGAAATGGAGGGGACACTTAAAGAACTCTGACAGACAAATTCTTACAAGGTGTCTCCTTGACACGCAATGATTTTTGACCCATATTGAATCTGCTTCTGCCTGTGGCTACAATTTAAGCTAGTGTTTGTTAAATGCGTTCAGTGATTGCAGTTGGAAAAAATCAAGTGGTTAACCAGAGGAAAAAGGTTCCAAGAACCAAAATCCAGCATGTTTTGAATTATGCACAAGCCCGTTATGACCGAATAAAATAAAATCTCTACCCCCTTTCCTCCCCAAAAAAAGCAATTTTGGAAAAATATCAATTGTAAAAAAAGAATCAGTGAGTACTTTGCTGTGCTTACAAAAAGCAATGTGGAATAGCAGCAGAATGTTACAATTGACTGGCTACTTCTGGCTTTTTTCATTAAAAAAATTAATCAAGAGATAAAGCAGACTAGACTATTTTCTGGGATCCTCTTGGAAACTGCAATGCTGACATTAAGAAGCCAAGGAGACACATGCAACACCACCAAAAAGAATCAGGAAGTTCAAAACCTACCTGAAAGAAACCTGGAGGGATGGGACCGCCTGGCATTCCATCATTAGGAGGAATGTTTCCTAGTACTGGACTTGGGGCTGCAGCTGCGCTCTGCAGGAAACAAAGATGGACAAATTGATTTCATGTCAGATTTAAAAGGCAACCTCTCCTGCCATACCTCACTACACCAATTAACCCACGACTAATCACTGATAGCATCAAAGGGGTATGAAATCAACCCTCACCCTCTATGCCCATTTACAGAACACTGTGCTTAAGCACTCAACCAAAATGGAAGCCTATGATGGTCTTGAATATCTTGGGATCAAATATTGCTCAGGTCACCTCTATGCCTGGGTGCAACTGAGGGCAGGGATTGACCCTAAAGTGACTTTTTAAACAACTTTTCCACAACAGCCATTTAATTATGGTAAGTACGTATTTTAGAAATCCAACAGCGTCATTCATAGCAAAGGAAATCAGCAAAGATGCTCTCAGGTGACGCATCATCATCAGCTTAGATTTTTTGTTTGTTTGTTTAACTCCAAGATTTTTTGGAACAAAAGCAGCTATGTCTCTTTCCCTACTGATTTTCCCTTCACGGATCACCAGTGAGGACTCTGAACCCACTGTTCAGGGTTTCCAATTGACCTAACACTCTCTTCTTTCTCTCCCCCCACCCACCATTTATTTACTTCCTTGTTCCTGCACCAGTGTGTTCTCTCTCTCTCTCTCTCGGAGGTCAGCATGCTTCTGGGAATGGAGTTCACATTATCCATTAACAACCAAGAGGAAGAGCTCATGTTGCACCCTGTTCATGGCCCTGCAAAAACTGGGGCTTCTTAAAAAAACAACCACGATATTTAGTATCGTTAATCCACTGGAGAATCTGATTTTGGATTCTAATGTGTCAAATTTCGAACTATTTAAAAAATAAACGTAACAAGTCTGCTTTGTTTTTCCAGATTTGCCGCACTGTTTTGCTCTGTCCTCCAAGAAGATGCATCCCCCACCTTGCAAGTGTGCCATTTTATTATTTGTTTTCAAGTAAGTGTCTTGTAGTAACTGCCAATGTTTCAGCTCTACATACAGCCCCTTCTCTCCAGGCCCCTCACAAAGCCTGTGCATTTCCTTATATTTTAGTTGCTTGGACGGTATTCCTAAACTGCAAGTGGCTCTGCTGAAAGCCTTTGTTTTGGTAGACAAATGATTTGGTTTTGTTCACCCTTGTGTACAGCAGAGACTGCAGGTTACTTGGATAACGCTTGTTCCTATTTAGCAACCATATTAATACTTACTCCCTCTAGATTATATACCTTGTGGGGCAAAGGGGAATTCTCTGGCATGCAGACCAGCCCCACAGTGGGCTGTGAAACAGAACACCTTCTGGGTTTTGCTGGGTGAATGGGCCATTTTTATAAGGACAGTAGGTAAAGATAAACAGCTGCAAGACTAAACTCCTGAGTATTCACTTTCAGTTTATGAACCAATCACTCCACTTTGGCCTTTCACCTATGGATACAAACTGAAGGATCTTAGTTTAAATTTGGCAGATTCTGCTTGTGTTAAAAGAATAGCTGTGCACACGGAACTAGCCTGCTACTTAATGTAAGTGGCAGTTTCTGCTCTGAAAAGGAGCAGTATTATGTAAGACTGCTGCTACTCAAAAGGAAAAGAAAGATTTCTTCCCTCAACACCACAGCTGACAGAAATGTCCCTTCTAGGACAGGGATAACAATTTTGCTGTTGATCATTTATCTGTAGACAAGAGAGCCAATACTTCCAGTGCCATTTTAAAGATCATAGTAATTTGAAAACCAATGTGATCGAGTTTAATGCAATCAGTGATTACTTTCCTTTGAATGTTTATGATGAATTTGTGTACTTGATGTTACATAACAGAACTATTGCTCTCTTCCTCCAGTCGTTTAAAAATTGCATTCACAAAGGAAAACCCACAAGACAGCAACACACAGCAAGATCCTCTTTCCTCTTGGTTTAAGCCCCACACCTACAAATCTCCCCTTCCCACCAAAACTTCTCTAGAGAGAGCAACACTGGAGAGTCCATTTTAAAAAGGTAAAAGGCATCTTGTCAAGTGTTTATCGTAATTTATGTGATGGCAATTTCAACAAAACAAGAAACTCTGAAAGCATTCAAATGGGCAAGGTAAGCCTTATGACAAGTCAGGAACTGGCTGAAAAACACCACAATATTTCATCCAATTTCAGCCAACAAAAACCCTCAGATTCAGAGTCCAGATAGTGAGTTTGGGTTCAGAAGGCCCCATATGACAGTTAGCACATCAACCAACTGAATTCACCTCTCCTCCATAGCCTCTCTCTTCTATCCTTCACTCCAAGCATCATTGGATGTATGTATTTAAACAGGGAGGGGAGGGAAGCCAGCTTAATAATTTAAAAGCTCTATTAAGCCAGTTTCAGTTTTTGGTAGAAAATTTGCCTCGAGGCTAACAACCTGTATGCCTGGGTTTCAGTTCAGTGTAATTTGAAACTGCCAAGCTATTTCCACCTTGCTGAGAAAAGGCTGTGTTACCAATGCAAAGTACAAAACCCAACACAGTAATACTGAGCAGCAAGACTGAAAAATAACCTATTGAGCATAAATAAAGCCCCTCATACGCATGGGATCATTATTCTGCAAGTGTTTTTTGAAGGAAGGAATAATGGTCTGGTTGTGGGGAATGCCCCTTTTAGCGAGGGCACAGGACGGTTTCTGCACACATTAGTTCAGAAGGAACTTTTGCGCTCCTGACTTTTGTTTTAGGTTTCTCTGTCTTTGCAGGCAGCCAGCGTCTGCTCCACCAGTCGCATGCAGTGAGCTGTGAAGTCACAGCTATTACTTGCTCCAGAATGGTTCTGGGCACTGGCTAGTCAGGGGGGAAGCAGGGGACAAGTGCTGCTTTAGATTGTACGGGTTTGTAGTTCACCCGTACCTGCATTACATTTTATAGCCAAATCAGTATAAAACATTTTTATTAAACATTACAAATAATAAAGATCTCAAATAGACGGGCTGCTTCTAAAAAGTCTTTTAGCCAGAACATGGCAACAACCTCTCCCTACAAAGCCATCCACAGCAATCATCATAAGCCACTGCTTTCACCCTTGCAAACCTGATTTGGACCAAAGGCAATTTACAGGATGGATTAAAAATCAAATGTAAAAAAAAAAAAAAGTGATTTTTTTTAAACAATTAAAAAACAAACAAGCCTACTTACAATTAAATTTCAAATTGACCTAAGGTCCTAAAAACTTCTTATAATCTATTAAAGTCATTTAAACTAAATACAATAATTTTAAGCAGTCCATGTTTGTTGCCAATTTTTAAAGGAAGGCAAACCACTGAACTGGTGGAAGTCACTTGCTAAGCTCCTAGAACCAGAGTTTATAGAAGTATTAAACCAGCTTTTGGACAGCCTTAGCCTCTTCTGCAGGTGCAGAGAGAATATGCTCTTCAATTCAGTTCATTCAAAGTTAAGAAACCAACTGGGAGCTGAAAAGGAAGGAGAACTTGTTCACCTCATCCAATCTAAATAAAAACCAGGTGTGAGAGGATGAGCTCTACTAGTTCTAAAAATCGTGAAGAGCATGGTGACCAGAAACAATCAGTTCAATGGGTTAGCTACAAACAACATTTTTGGTGTTTAATAAATCAGTTAGCTTTAAATGCAACATATTCTATTTTTTTAAATGTATACAGCACTTAATTTTTTACATTAAATAAAACTACCCAACAAGTGCATTTTTAATTTAATTTAAATTACCATTCAAGAAGAACTTGACAAAAATCACAAGTAAAATATTAATCTGGTAAATAAGGAATGCATTTGCCATTTTCTGACATAATAAAAAAAATGTAAAGATTAAGAATCTGAACAAATGCAACTTATATAGTTTAACTGCTTAAATAAGTAACTGTGTACACACAAACCCCTCCTGGTTAGCAAAAAGTAATAACAAACCGTGCAAAGGCTATATTTAGTTGCAAATCAACATGTTTTAATAGTTACAAACTAATGAGAATTGGTCCTTTAGGAAAAGAACTAAAAAAGTACAAATGTAAAACATGATTAAAATAGGTGATTTACTTGCTGATTTATATCATGATTGAAGTCAGTGATTTAAATTGCTTTGATGTAAATTAATCCACCTCATCAATTTACAAAACTAGATTATGAACCCTGAAATTCCAGGTTTAATAGCAACTGTCAACTCTCAGGAGGTGCTACCTAGACCAGTCTCTGTAGTACTGGTTACAACATCTGAGCAGCCTTTTTGGTGGATCATACATTTAAGGAGCCCAGCAGTGATTTTGTCATCAAATATCCACGTCCCATTCCTGTACACAATGAAACAGGCCTCGCCTCACCCCACCCTACCAACTGTGATGGCCATAACTGGCTCTCAAAAAAGCACAGACAGGTGGAAGGCTTATTTTTATTTAAATCATTTCAGTAAAAATTATAGGGTGTCCCTAGATGAGGAACGTTTATATCACAGGCCGTGTGTGGTCTGTGATCTCTGGAATGGGAGTCAAGAAACCTGCTGAGTAATCTGATAAAAGCCACTTCACCTCTCTGCGCCTTTGTTTTCCATCCCATTCATATTGTCCGTCTTGTCTACGTAGGCCAGAGGTTAGCAAACTACGGCCCATGGGCCACGTCTGGCCTGCAGGACCATCCTGCCCAGCCCTTGAACTCCCAGCCAAGGAGGCTAGCCCCCAGCCCCTCCCTGGCTGTACCCGCAGCCACGCCGCTGCGCAGGCAGGACTCTGGGCAGCAGAGCAGCGCGCTCCTGCCGAGCAGAGCAGCAGCGTGTCTAGCTCCGGCCGGGCGGCGCGGCTGCGACATGCTGCTCTGAGCGTCATGGTAAGGGGGCCAGGGGGGTTGGATAAGGGGTAGGGAGGGCAGTCAGAGGACAGGGAGAGGTTGGATGGGGCGGTCAGGGGACAGGGGGGTTGGATAAGCGTGGGGGGCAGGGATGTGGATAGGGGTTGGGGTAGTCAGGGCACTGGGAGCGGGGGGGGGTGGGTTGATAGGGGTGGGGTCCCGGGGAGTGGTTGGGGCGGGAGGTCCCGGGAGGGAGCGG